GACAAAAATACAGTTTCTAGCTAAAATTTGATGGTTTCGTTGCACTTTCCGAGCCCATAGGGTATCTGAGTGGCTTAAAAGTACAAGAAAACACTTCAAAAGTGAAGTTTCTGAAGAATTTTAACAGTTTTCTTGTATCTACGAACGCCAGAATGCATAAAATTGACCTAAACGTCTCCTTTTCCTATTCTGAGTCGATTCTGCATGCTTTAAGTGTGTTTGGTGGCTCAGAACTATCAAAAAACGTTGAAAAATAGTTCAAATTCAATTAAAAATCGACAAAAATACAGTTTCTAGCTAAAATTTGATGGTTTCGTTGCACTTTCCGAGCCCGTAGGGTATCTGAGTGGCTTAAAAGTACAAGAAAACACTTCAAATGTGACGTTCCTGAAGAATTTTAACAGTTTGCTTGTATCTACGAACGCCAGAATGCATAAAATTGACCTAAACGTCTCCTTTTCCTATTCTGAGTCGATTCTGCATGCTTTAAGTGTGTTTGGTGGCTCAGAACCATCAAAAAACGTTGAAATATAGTTCAAATTCAATAAAAATCGACGAAAATACAGTTTCTAGCTAAAATTTGATGGTTTCGTTGCACTTTCCGAGCCCGTAGGGTATCTGAGTGGCTTAAAAGTACAAGAAAACACTTCAAAAGTGACGTTTCTGAAGAATTTTAACAGTTTTCTTGTATCTACGAACGCCAGAATGCATAAAATTGACCTAAACGTCTCCTTTTCCTATTCTGAGTCGATTCTGCATGCTTTAAGTGTGTTTGGTGGCTCAGAACCATCAAAAAACTTTGAAAAATAGTTCAAATTCAATAAAAATCGACCAAAATTCAGTTTCTAGCTAAAATTTGATGGTTTCGTTGCACTTTCCGAGCCCGCCGGGTACCTGAGTGGCTTAAAAGTACAAGAAAACACTTCAAAAGTGAAGTTTCTGAAGAATTTTAACAGTTTTCTTGTATCTACGAACGCCAGAATGCATAAAATTGACCTAAACGTCTCCTTTTCCTATTCTGAGTCGATTCTGCATGCTTTAAGTGTGTTTGGTGGCTCAGAACCATCAAAAAACGTTGAAATATAGTTCAAATTCAATAAAAATCGACAAAAATACAGTTTCTAGCTAAAATTTGATGGTTTCGTTGCACTTTCCGAGCCCATAGGGTATCTGAGTGGCTTAAAAGTACAAGAAAACACTTCAAAAGTGAAGTTTCTGAAGAATTTTAACAGTTTTCTTGTATCTACGAACGCCAGAATGCATAAAATTGACCTAAACGTCTCCTTTTCCTATTCTGAGTCGATTCTGCATGCTTTAAGTGTGTTTGGTGGCTCAGAACTATCAAAAAACGTTGAAAAATAGTTCAAATTCAATTAAAAATCGACAAAAATACAGTTTCTAGCTAAAATTTGATGGTTTCGTTGCACTTTCCGAGCCCGTAGGGTATCTGAGTGGCTTAAAAGTACAAGAAAACACTTCAAATGTGACGTTCCTGAAGAATTTTAACAGTTTGCTTGTATCTACGAACGCCAGAATGCATAAAATTGACCTAAACGTCTCCTTTTCCTATTCTGAGTCGATTCTGCATGCTTTAAGTGTGTTTGGTGGCTCAGAACCATCAAAAAACGTTGAAATATAGTTCAAATTCAATAAAAATCGACGAAAATACAGTTTCTAGCTAAAATTTGATGGTTTCGTTGCACTTTCCGAGCCCGTAGGGTATCTGAGTGGCTTAAAAGTACAAGAAAACACTTCAAAAGTGAAGTTTCTGAAGAATTTTAACAGTTTTCTTGTATCTACGAACGCCAGAATGCATAAAATTGACCTAAACGTCTCCTTTTCCTATTCTGAGTCGATTCTGCATGCTTTAAGTGTGTTTGGTGGCTCAGAACTATCAAAAAACGTTGAAATATAGTTCAAATTCAATTAAAAATCGACAAAAATACAGTTTCTAGCTAAAATTTGATGGTTTCGTTGCACTTTCCGAGCCCGTAGGGTATCTGAGTGGCTTAAAAGTACAAGAAAACACTTCAAATGTGACGTTCCTGAAGAATTTTAACAGTTTTCTTGTATCTACGAACGCCAGAATGCATAAAATTGACCTAAACGTCTCCTTTTCCTATTCTGAGTCGATTCTGCATGCTTTAAGTGTGTTTGGTGGCTCAGAACCATCAAAAAACGTTGAAATATAGTTCACATTCAATAAAAATCGACAAAAATACAGTTTCTAGCTAAAATTTGATGGTTTCGTTGCACTTTCCGAGCCCGTAGGGTATCTGAGTGGCTTAAAAGTACAAGAAAACACTTCAAAAGTGACGTTTCTGAAGAATTTTAACAGTTTACTTGTATCTACGAACGCCAGAATGCATAAAATTGACCTAAACGTCTCCTTTTCCTATTCTGAGTCGATTCTGCATGCTTTAAGTGTGTTTGGTGGCTCAGAACCATTAAAAAACGTTGAAATATATTTCAAATTCAATAAAAATCGACAAAAATACAGTTTCTAGCTAAAATTTGATGGTTTCGTTGCATTTTCCGAGCCCGTTGGGTATCTGAGTGGCTTAAAAGTACAAGAAAACACTTCAAAAGTGACGTTTCTGAAGAATTTTAACAGTTTTCTTGTATCTACGAACGCCAGAATGCATAAAATTGACCTAAACGTCTCCTTTTCCTATTCTGAGTCGATTCTGCATGCTTTAAGTGTGTTTGGTGGCTCAGAACCATCAAAAAACGTTGAAATATAGTTCAAATTCAATAAAAATCGACAAAAATACAGCTTCTAGCTAAAATTTGATGGTTTCGTTGCACTTTCCGAGCCCGTAGAGTATCTGAGTGGCTTAAAAGTACAAGAAAACACTTCAAAAGTGACGTTTCTGAAGAATTTTAACAGTTTTCTTGTATCTACGAACGCCAGAATGCATAAAATTGACCTAAACGTCTCCTTTTCCTATTCTGAGTCGATTCTGCATGCTTTAAGTGTGTTTGGTGGCTCAGAACCATCAAAAAACTTTGAAAAATAGTTCAAATTCAATAAAAATCGACCAAAATACAGTTTCTAGCTAAAATTTGATGTTTTCGTTGCACTTTCCGAGCCCGCCGGGTACCTGAGTGGCTTAAAAGTACAAGAAAACACTTCTAAAGTGACGTTACTGAAGAATTTTAACAGTTTTCTTTAATCTACGAACGCCAGAATGCATAAAATTGACCTAAACGTCTCCTTTTCCTATTCTGAGTCGATTCTGCATGCTTTAAGTGTGTTTGGTGGCTCAGAACCATCAAAAAACGTTGAAATATAGTTCAAATTCAATAAAAATCGACAAAAATACAGCTTCTAGCTAAAATTTGATGGTTTCGTTGCACTTTCCGAGCCCGTAGAGTATCTGAGTGGCTTAAAAGTACAAGAAAACACTTCAAAAGTGACGTTTCTGAAGAATTTTAACAGTTTTCTTGTATCTACGAACGCCAGAATGCATAAAATTGACCTAAACGTCTCCTTTTCCTATTCTGAGTCGATTCTGCATGCTTTAAGTGTGTTTGGTGGCTCAGAACCATCAAAAAACTTTGAAAAATAGTTCAAATTCAATAAAAATCGACCAAAATACAGTTTCTAGCTAAAATTTGATGTTTTCGTTGCACTTTCCGAGCCCGCCGGGTACCTGAGTGGCTTAAAAGTACAAGAAAACACTTCTAAAGTGACGTTACTGAAGAATTTTAACAGTTTTCTTTAATCTACGAACGCCAGAATGCATAAAATTGACCTAAACGTCTCCTTTTCCTATTCTGAGTCGATTCTGCATGCTTTAAGTGTGTTTGGTGGCTCAGAACCATCAAAAAACGTTGAAATATAGTTCAAATTCAATAAAAATCGACAAAAATACAGTTTCTAGCTAAAATTTGATGGTTTCGTTGCACTTTCCGAGCCCGTAGGGTATCTGAGTGGCTTAAAAGTACAAGAAAACACTTCAAAAGTGAAGTTTCTGAAGAATTTTAACAGTTTTCTTGTATCTACGAACGCCAGAATGCATAAAATTGACCTAAACGTCTCCTTTTCCTATTCTGAGTCGATTCTGCATGCTTTAAGTGTGTTTGGTGGCTCAGAACTATCAAAAAACGTTGAAATATAGTTCAAATTCAATTAAAAATCGACAAAAATACAGTTTCTAGCTAAAATTTGATGGTTTCGTTGCACTTTCCGAGCCCGTAGGGTATCTGAGTGGCTTAAAAGTACAAGAAAACACTTCAAATGTGACGTTCCTGAAGAATTTTAACAGTTTGCTTGTATCTACGAACGCCAGAATGCATAAAATTGACCTAAACGTCTCCTTTTCCTATTCTGAGTCGATTCTGCATGCTTTAAGTGTGTTTGGTGGCTCAGAACCATCAAAAAACGTTGAAATATAGTTCAAATTCAATAAAAATCGACAAAAATACAGTTTCTAGCTAAAATTTGATGGTTTCGTTGCACTTTCCGAGCCCGTAGGGTATCTGAGTGGCTTAAAAGTACAAGAAAACACTTCAAAAGTGAAGTTTCTGAAGAATTTTAACAGTTTTCTTGTATCTACGAACGCCAGAATGCATAAAATTGACCTAAACGTCTCCTTTTCCTATTCTGAGTCGATTCTGCATGCTTTAAGTGTGTTTGGTAGCTCAGAACTATCAAAAAACGTTGAAATATAGTTCAAATTCAATTAACCCTTAATTACTCGCATGCGTGTATAAAATACACGCAGTTGACGTTTTTGTCGGCCATTTGCTAAAAACTATTTCAATGCGCAAGCGCTTCTAGGTATTCCTCATTTATCTTTCTTATAAGCATTTGAGGTTAAGAACAGCGACCGTACAGTGTGTTATTGCTAATTAAATTAGTTTGATTTTGTCCTGTGTACAAATTACACCGTGCGACTTAATATGTAAGTATTAATTGTGTAAAGTATAAAACATACATCGAATAAAATTTGATCAAAAACTGATTACAAAAATATTTTTTCACTTGAAAACAGGTTTCCAATCCAAGTGAGGAATCCCAATTGTTTGACTGATGAAGAATTAGCTGCTTTTCATGATGAAGATCTATCTGAAGAACAAATAGTGGGTGGAGACGATTCAGCAGATTCCGAAGAACAATTCGAACTTAGTGAACATGAAAGCAATTCAGAACAAGAGGCTAGTGGCGATAACAATGTCGATAATTTGGTAAATGAAGATGAACATTCAGATTATTCAGTTACGGCAACAACAGCTCTTCAAAATGCAAACGATGGCGATGGTCCAGTTTACAAAACAAAGCATAACTTGGAATGGAGCAAATTGCCTCTGAAGAAAAAGTCAAAGACACCTGCAAAAAACATTTGTAAAGAACGTTGTCATCCCCTCGTCCCAAAAAGTGAGATATCAAACGAAATATCTGCTTTTGAGAAATTTATAAATGCTGCGATGGTTGAAGAGATTGTAAGATGTACAAATATTTTTATCAGAAGAAAACAGGAAAATTATGCGCGAGAGAGAGATGCACGTGAGACAAATAAGGAAGAATTTTTGGCATTCTTGGGACTGCTGATTCTCTCCGGTGTAAAAAAACAAGGTCATACCAATTTTCACGAATTGTTTAGCGCCGACGGAACGGGAATAGAAATATTTCGAGCTTGTATGAGCGCAAACCGTTTCTTGTTTCTTCTTTCTGTAGTCCGATTTGACGATGTGGGCACTAGAGAAAACAGACGCATAACCGACAAAATGGCAGCAATACGACATATATTTGATGCATTTGTTGCAAACTGCAAGGGCTCTTATTGCGTTGGAGAGTTTATGACAATTGACGAGATGCTGATTCCTTTCCGAGGAAGATGCAGTTTTATTCAGTATATGCCAAACAAGCCGGCAAAGTATGGACTAAAAATTTTTGCTTTATGCGATTCCAAAACATTTTACTTGTCTAATTTAGAGCTTTACTGTGGCAAGCAGCCAGACGGACCTTATGTCTGTGAAAATTCTCCACAAGCAGTTGTCAGTAGGTTGACAAACGACTACGTTGGAAAAAATAGAAACTTGACGACTGACAATTGGTACACGAGTTACCCACTTGCAGAGGATTTACTAAACAAAAAAACCACATTAGTTGGCACATTGAGAAAAAATAAAAAAGAGATACCTGCCGAACTATTACCTAATAAATCACGACCAATTCCATCTTCAATATTTGCGTTTCGGAAGGATATGACGCTAGTATCCTATTGCCAAAAAAAAAATAAAGCTGTGATACTACTCTCGACTATGCACGCCGACGATATTGTCGACAGATCTTCAAATAAGCCTGATATCGTTTTGTTTTACAATTCTACTAAAGGCGGAATTGACACCGTTGACGAAATGTGTGGTAATTATTCGGTACAAAAACGAACAAGACGCTGGCCTCTGGTTCTTTTTTTCCAAATGATTAATATTGCGGGAATAAACTCTAACATAATTTATAAATACTTTCACATAGACTCCAATAAACAGCCACGACGTATTTTTCTGAAAAACGTTGCATTGTCTTTGATGAAGCCTCATCTGGAAACTCGAGCAAACATTGAGACGCTTCCTATAGATATAAAAGGCTTTCTTTCTAAATATAAAAAAACTTCAACGAACATTGAGAGGAATGTTACAAGAAATCGAGGTAAATGTGTCTTTTGCGAAAGTAAGAAAAATCGCGTTACAACCATCACATGCGACTTGTGTGGTAGACTAGCATGTAAAGAACACGTAGTAAAAACACAAGAATGCGTAAGCTGTCGTAAAAGTAGAACAGAAGAGCAAGAATAAAGTCTTATTCTCATTGTTTTAGAATTGAATTTTTGTTTTTTGTTTCTCATTTTTGTGAATTTAAAGTTATTTTATGTTGTATGTTCTAAATTTAAATAAAACCCTAGAGTATTTTTGAATTTGAATTTTGAATTGTTGAATTTTTCTTATTGTACAAGTTGGTTAAAATCATAAAAATTATAAAACTGAAATAAAAGAAAAGCTTAAAAAGTCCAAAAACGTGATGGTGTATAAAATACACTGTGCGACCAATTAATAAACAAGACAAAGCGCGAGTAATTAAGGGTTAAAAATCGACAAAAATACAGTTTCTAGCTAAAATTTGATGGTTTCGTTGCACTTTCCGAGCCCGTAGGGTATCTGAGTGGCTTAAAAGTACAAGAAAACACTTCAAATGTGACGTTCCTGAAGAATTTTAACAGTTTTCTTGTATCTACGAACGCCAGAATGCATAATATTGACCTAAACGTCTCCTTTTCCTATTCTGAGTCGATTCTGCATGCTTTAAGTGTGTTTGGTGGCTCAGAACCATCAAAAAACGTTGAAATATAGTTCACATTCAATAAAAATCGACAAAAATACAGTTTCTAGCTAAAATTTGATGGTTTCGTTGCACTTTCCGAGCCCGTAGGGTATCTGAGTGGCTTAAAAGTACAAGAAAACACTTCAAAAGTGACGTTTCTGAAGAATTTTAACAGTTTACTTGTATCTACGAACGCCAGAATGCATAAAATTGACCTAAACGTCTCCTTTTCCTATTCTGAGTCGATTCTGCATGCTTTAAGTGTGTTTGGTGGCTCAGAACCATTAAAAAACGTTGAAATATATTTCAAATTCAATAAAAATCGACAAAAATACAGTTTCTAGCTAAAATTTGATGGTTTCGTTGCATTTTCCGAGCCCGTTGGGTATCTGAGTGGCTTAAAAGTACAAGAAAACACTTCAAAAGTGACGTTTCTGAAGAATTTTAACAGTTTTCTTGTATCTACGAACGCCAGAATGCATAAAATTGACCTAAACGTCTCCTTTTCCTATTCTGAGTCGATTCTGCATGCTTTAAGTGTGTTTGGTGGCTCAGAACCATCAAAAAACGTTGAAATATAGTTCAAATTCAATAAAAATCGACAAAAATACAGCTTCTAGCTAAAATTTGATGGTTTCGTTGCACTTTCCGAGCCCGTAGAGTATCTGAGTGGCTTAAAAGTACAAGAAAACACTTCAAAAGTGACGTTTCTGAAGAATTTTAACAGTTTTCTTGTATCTACGAACGCCAGAATGCATAAAATTGACCTAAACGTCTCCTTTTCCTATTCTGAGTCGATTCTGCATGCTTTAAGTGTGTTTGGTGGCTCAGAACCATCAAAAAACGTTGAAATATAGTTCAAATTCAATAAAAATCGACAAAAATACAGTTTCTAGCTAAAATTTGATGGTTTCGTTGCACTTTCCGAGCCCGTAGGGTATCTGAGTGGCTTAAAAGTACAAGAAAACACTTCAAAAGTGACGCTTCTGAAGAATTTTAACAGTTTTCTTGTATCTACGAACGCCAGAATGCATAAAATTGACCTAAACGTCTCCTTTTCCAATTCTGAGTCGATTCTGCATGCTTTAAGTGTGTTTGGTGGCTCAGAACCATCAAAAAACGTTGAAATATAGTTCAAATTCAATAAAAATCGACAAAAATACAGTTTCTAGCTAAAATTTGATGGTTTCGTTGCACTTTCCGAGCCCGCAGGGTATCTGAGTGGCTTAAAAGTACAAGAAAACACTTCAAAAGTGACGTTTCTGAAGAATTTTAACAGTTTTCTTGCATCTACGAACGCCAGAATGCATAAAATTGACCTAAACGTCTCCTTTTCCTATTCTGAGTCGATTCTGCATGCTTTAAGTGAGTTTGGTGGCTCAGAACCATCAAAAAACGTTGAAATATAGTTCAAATTCAATAAAAATCGACAAAAATACAGAGTCTAGCTAAAATTTGATGGTTTCGTTGCACTTTCCGAGCCCGTAGGGTATCTGAGTGGCTTAAAAGTACAAGAAAACACTTCAAAAGTGACGTTTCTGAAGAATTTTAACAGTTTTCTTGTATCTACGAACGCCAGAATGCATAAAATTGACCTAAACGTCTCCTTTTCCTATTCTGAGTCGATTCTGCATGCTTTAAGTGTTTGGTGGCTCAGAACATCAAAAAACGTTGAAATATAGTTCAAATTCAATAAAAATCGACAAAAATACAGTTTCTAGCTAAAATTTGATGGTTTCGTTGCACTTTCCGAGCCCGCAGGGTATCTGAGTGGTTTAAAAGTACAAGAAAACACTTCAAAAGTGACGTTTCTGAAGAATTTTAACAGTTTTCTTGTATCTACGAACGCCAGAATGCATAAAATTGACCTAAACGTCTCCTTTTCCTATTCTGAGTCGATTCTGCATGCTTTAAGTGTGTTTGGTGGCTCAGAACCATCAAAAAACGTTGAAATATAGTTCAAATTCAATAAAAATCGACAAAAATACAGTTTCTAGCTAAAATTTGATGGTTTCGTTGCACTTTCCGAGCCCGTAGGGTATCTGAGTGGCTTAAAAGTACAAGAAAACACTTCAAAAGTGACGTTTCTGAAGAATTTTAATAGTTTTCTTGTATCTACGAACGCCAGAATGCATAAAATTGACCTAAACGTCTCCTTTTCCTATTCTGAGTCGATTCTGCATGCTTTAAGTGTGTTTGGTGGCTCAGAACCATCAAAAAACGTTGAAATATAGTTCAAATTCAATTAAAAATCGACAAAAATACAGTTTCTAGCTAAAATTTGATGGTTTCGTTGCACTTTCCGAGCTCGTAGGGTATCTGAGTGGCTTAAAAGTACAAGAAAACACTTCAAAAGTGACGTTCCTGAAGAATTTTAACAGTTTTCTTGTATCTACGAACGCCAGAATGCATAAAATTGACCTAAACGTCTCCTTTTCCTATTCTGAGTCGATTCTGCATGCTTTAAGTGTGTTTGGTGGCTCAGAACCATCAAAAAACGTTGAAATATAGTTCACATTCAATAAAAATCGACAAAAATACAGTTTCTAGCTAAAATTTGATGGTTTCGTTGCACTTTCCGAGCCCGTAGGGTATCTGAGTGGCTTAAAAGTACAAGAAAACACTTCAAAAGTGACGTTTCTGAAGAATTTTAACAGTTTTCTTGTATCTACGAACGCCAGAATGCATAAAATTGACCTAAACGTCTCCTTTTCCTATTCTGAGTCGATTCTGCATGCTTTAAATGTGTTTGGTGGCTCAGAACCATCAAAAAACGTTGAAATATAGTTCAAATTCAATAAAAATCGACAAAAATACAGCTTCTAGCTAAAATTTGATGGTTTCGTTGCACTTTCCGAGCCCGCAGGGTATCTGAGTGGCTTAAAAGTACTAGAAAACACTTCAAAAGTGACGTTTCTGAAGAATTTTAACTGTTTTCTTGCATCTACGAACGCCAGAATGCATAAAATTGACCTAAACGTCTCCTTTTCCTATTCTGAGTCGATTCTGCATGCTTTAAGTGAGTTTGGTGGCTCAGAACCATCAAAAAACGTTGAAATATAGTTCAAATTCAATAAAAATCGACAAAAATACAGAGTCTAGCTAAAATTTGATGGTTTCGTTGCACTTTCCGAGCCCGTAGGGTATCTGAGTGGCTTAAAAGTACAAGAAAACACTTCAAAAGTGACGTTTCTGAAGAATTTTAACAGTTTTCTTGTATCTACGAACGCCAGAATGCATAAAATTGACCTAAACGTCTCCTTTTCCTATTCTGAGTCGATTCTGCATGCTTTAAGTGTGTTTGGTGGCTCAGAACCATCAAAAAACGTTGAAATATAGTTCACATTCAATAAAAATCGACAAAAATACAGTTTCTAGCTAAAATTTGATGGTTTCGTTGCACTTTCCGAGCCCGTAGGGTATCTGAGTGGCTTAAAAGTACAAGAAAACACTTCAAAAGTGACGTTTCTGAAGAATTTTAACAGTTTTCTTGTATCTACGAACGCCAGAATGCATAAAATTGACCTAAACGTCTCCTTTTCCTATTCTGAGTCGATTCTGCATGTTTTAAGTGTGTTTGGTGGCTCAGAACCATCAAAAAACGTTGAAATATAGTTCAAATTCAATAAAAATCGACAAAAATACAGCTTCTAGCTAAAATTTGATGGTTTCGTTGCACTTTCCGAGCCCGTAGAGTATCTGAGTGGCTTAAAAGTACAAGAAAACACTTCAAAAGTGACGTTTCTGAAGAATTTTAACAGTTTTCTTGTATCTACGAACTCCAGAATGCATAAAATTGACCTAAACGTCTCCTTTTCCTATTCTGAGTCGATTCTGCATGCTTTAAGTGTGTTTGGTGGCTCAGAACCATCAAAAAACGTTGAAATATAGTTCAAATTCAATAAAAATCGACAAAAATACAGTTTCTAGCTAAAATTTGATGGTTTCGTTGCACTTTCCGAGCCCGTAGGCTATCTGAGTGGCTTAAAAGTACAAGAAAACACTTCAAAAGTGACGTTTCTAAAGAATTTTAACAGTTTTCTTGTATCTACGAACGCCAGAATGCATAAAATTGACCTAAACGTCTCCTTTTCCAATTCTGAGTCGATTCTGCATGCTTTAAGTGTGTTTGGTGGCTCAGAACCATCAAAAAACGTTGAAATATAGTTCAAATTCAATTAAAAATCGACAAAAATACAGTTTCTAGCTAAAATTTGATGGTTTCGTTGCACTTTCCGAGCCCGTAGGGTATCTGAGTGGCTTAAAAGTACAAGAAAACACTTCAAAAGTGACGTTCCTGAAGAATTTTAACAGTTTTCTTGTATCTACGAACGCCAGAATGCATAAAATTGACCTAAACGGCTCCTTTTCCTATTCTGAGTCGATTCTGCATGCTTTAAGTGTGTTTGGTGGCTCAGAACCATCAAAAAACGTTGAAATATAGTTCACATTCAATAAAAATCGACAAAAATACAGT